GAAGAGCGGGAATGGAACCACGGTGGTTCTGGAGGTCAGCGACCGATGCACAGGTAAGAATCGGAAACTACTACAGCAATTGGAACAGGCATCCATGTTCTTCCCTCTCCTAGGGCTGAAATCTATAGCGGTTATCCGGGAAAAGTTCGTCCGGGAAAATTTCCATCTGGAAGTCCAAATTTTCCCGGAAAGTTTCTCGGGAGAGAACGAGAGAGAGTTCGAGAAGAAAAACGAAAGGTGTCAAGGTGTCAAGTGAAGAAAGTGAAAGTAAACTGGGCCTATTTTCTCTGGGTCGGGCCCACTACACAAATTAACGGCTATGAGTTAGGATCACATACATCATCATCAACATCATCATCATCATTATTATTATTATTATTATTATTAAATTTATATAATATTATATATAATTCCCTGATTCGCATATTTCTTTCACAACGGTTTTTATTTTTATTTATAATCATAGTTTTACATTTTCTATCAGGAAAAAAAAGCCAACAAACTTAAAAACATAAATGGATCTGGAAATTGTGCTAGATTTATTTCGTACGACTTTGAGATAACGTTCATGTGTGTTTACTTACTGTGTAGGTTATTTAAAATTCGAATTTTTTCGCTTTTAAAAATCCATCCATTTTTTTTTACTTCTTCTAATTTGAGTAAATCTTAAATGGCTATTGAAAATGGCAAAACACTATTCAAAATGACACATGAAAAGTGTGTGATACTAAATCAGAGTGGGAATTTAGAACATTAAACAAAAAGGTTACAAGACTTAAAATTAAAATCTAAATGTGGAGAGTATTATACACAAAACCCCTAAACTTCTTTATATACACCAAGTGAAGAGAGAGATCCAGTTAATAGTGGGCGAGTGATTGAATTGGGTGTACTCTTTGGATCTCAGGTCATGAATTTGATTCCAGGGACGAAGACCCAGATGAACCTCGTGGTTAACAAAAAAAAAGTAAAGAGAGAGAGAGCTCGGCTTCTAATGCCTTCACGCATCAATCATTGAATATTTCATCCATTTTTTGTGTATATATATATAGCATGCATGCATTGGTCATATATATCCAAGCTCTCATATGGGCATGGGCATGTACAATGGCATCTATATATATGCACGCATTGGTCATATATCCAAGCTCTCATGCATGGGCATGGGCATGTGAGTCAAAATACAATGGCATGGCATCCACTTTTACGAAAAGAGGAAACGCCTTGAAGGAACCAACTATTTGCCCATTTCACCATTGGACCCAAGAGCAATGACCAAACCCAAAGTTCCTATTCGTTTGCCTTTCTTTTGATTGTTTTTTTCTATATAGATACTATAAACATAATTTATTTCTAAATAGAATATTAAATCCTATATCTATTATCTACGTGAATAAATCATCTCCTAATATATGCATACCGTTCGAAAACATTCACGTATAAGAAAAATACCGAATACTTACAGAATTCTAGGAGTCCTAATAGTAGCGTGTATATTTATTTTATTTTTTTGTCAAAGGTTGATATATTCATTACTTTCGGATTTTCTACAAAACGTTTTTCGATCTATCGAACAAGAGGTGAAAAACCAAAACAACCAAAATGCGTGTATGTTTGGAACTCTAATTCCCGTATTTTAATTTGGAATTTAATTATTAATCTCAAATTCTCTATATATATAATTCAATAAAAAGTAAATATATTTCCCAAAGTCTATACTCCATTAATTATCTTTATAAAGTAAACACTTAGAACATCATTGACTCCGTTTTTAATTAGAAAGAATGTTATGCGACAATTTAACATGCAAATGAATTCAAATCTTGACTATGGTACGATCCAAAATCAATGTATTCTCGAAATCAATGCCTCTTTCATTAAGAATCCCATAAACCACGTGGGAGATAAAGACATGATAACACGACGGAAGATTAGCAGAGTTTCATTTTCAAGTGTATATATAGCCCATGAAATGAAATGTTTATCACTTTTTATATATACGTACGTACATATAACCGAGGCATCATTCAATAAATATTAAATACTAACCATATCCTACGCCGTCATGCACATGCATGGAAGGTTTCGATATGGTTGACGATGATGTTTCCACATGTATACGATCATGGTCGGATGTCTATCTTATCAAACGGTGCCACATGCTTTTTTTATATATAAAATTTGTATAATTAATTTTAGTGAGAAACTTTAATATTTTAGTAGATTATTTTATGTTCCGACGAAAATAAACAAATACCCGCAATAAATATTTTTTTTTCTAAATATCTCCATGATACACTATTTGTATAAAAACTTTGAAATTTTAATCTTAAACGTAATTTTTTAATATTATTGAAAATTCATTAAAAAAATCAGAGAGAAATCGATTTACGCACGACTTTAAATAATAGTTTCCTAACAAATATTTCATTATTTTTATTTTAATAGAGCGATAATCAATAACAATATTAATGTATAAATCGATATGGCAGAATTGAAAAAACAAACTATATGAATATATAGAATTAAGTTGAAATTCTAACTATAGTTATTTTACTATATTATCTTCATAGATTGTAATTAGAGAATGATGAGATTTGAAAAAATAAGAATAACATATATATATATATTTTAAGTTTCCGACATACAATCTTAATGATATTCTTTTTGAAAGAAAAAAAACACTCACCAACATACACTTGCTCATCTCTCTCATCTTTTCTTTTTTTTTAAAAAAAAAAAAATTTGTACCGTTTGTTTTTTTATTTTTTATTTTCCTCCGTCAACACGAATGTTTGATTTTATGTTCCAAATACCATGTACCACTCAGAGGTGGGGGAACATATTCAGAACGATTGCCTTTATCAGTGGATATATTAGTGATAAAAGATATCCAAATTGATTATTTATATGTTGATTTTTAAAAAAATAATGAATTTGTTGCTCGATTAAATAGTTTTTATTTTTAATTTTGCATGAACGAGGTGTTGTATCATCTAAATTTTGTTGTGTTTTTCTTGTCTATATAATATATAAAATCTAAGAACTGAAACGTTATTTTTTTGCAATCTCTAATTTCCAAAAAATCGTAAGAATTCCATTTTTTGATTTTTTTTTCCTCATTGACGAAAATATAACTGGTTTGATTATTTATGTATTGAGATTTTAAGTTTAAAGTCATGAGTAAAAATCGCGAAAACAACTAGTGAGATATAAAATCTGGATTTGATCATATTAAAACACTAAAATTCATACTTATTTTAATATCATTTCCATTTTATTCAAGATATTAAAAATATTATCTATTTTCTTTTACTTTATCTTCGATAACCTTCTTTAGTTATTTTGATCACTTAAAATTTATTGACCATATTAATATAGGGAAAATGGCAAATAAATACATCAATTTATTAATTTCTTACTCATAAATACATGAACTTGTAATCTCCCAATAAAATACATCAATTCGCAATTTTCTGGCAAATTAGTACACATACACTAATACCGTTAACTTTGTAACAGTTTCCGGTGAATGGTGCTGACGTGGCTCACCGAATTTTCCACGTCAGCGCCACATGTCAAACATTTTTCCACGTCATTAAAAAAATAAAATTAAAATTAAATTCATTTAAAATAAAAATAATTTAAAAATAATTTAATAAATTAAATTTTAAATTTTAAAATTTATAAAAAAATACAAAATTACAAATTTAATTATTTTTAAATTATTTTTATTTTAAATGAAGTTAATTTTAATTTTATTTTTTTAATGACGTGGAAAAATGTTTGACATGTGGCGCTGACGTGGAAAATCCGGCGAGCCACGTCAGCACCATTCACCGGAAACTGTTACAAAGTTAACGATGTTAGTGTCTGTCTACTAATTTGCCAGAAAATTGCGAATTGATGTATTTTGTTGGGAGATTACAAGTTCATGTATTTATGAGTAAGAAATTAACAAATTGATATATTTTTTTACCATTTTCCCTATTAATATAATTTCGACGACTTAATTGTTTTAGTCTGACATTTTTGAAAAAAAAAATATCCTATTAAATTAATACCATGCTTTATGATTAAAGGCATTGATGCTTTTGTGCCGGCCGGTTAGGATAATTATTTGCTTGACCAAAAGGAACAAATCTTCCTGAACTCACATGGTGTCACACATTCGCCAATACAAAGACAACAATAAATGTAATAATAATTTTTTTTGGAAGAATAATGTTCAACGGCAACAACAGGACAAAATAATATATGTATTTTTTAGATAAATAATATGTGTATATATATATATATTAAAGATTAAAAAAAAAACAGTAGAAGACAAAGTAATTTTAAAATTAGATTGGCTACCTACCAAGAATTTGTAAAGCATATTTTTTGAGTTCATGGACCAACCCATCTCCGTTAGTGTTAGGTTCACTGTAGAATTATAGTTTATTGCACCAATTTTGTAGTGTAGTCGACTATGCCTCATTACTTATATTCCTTCTTGGATATGTATTAAATAGTAATTCAACTATCATGAGTTTATTAGTGTGTGTGTGTATATATATATATATATATATATCAGTTTTTGTTTAAATTTATAATCATATATATTAATTTTAGAAAAATCACACCTATTTGTTTTTATATCTAGCTCGGATGGATTCAAGTTCTACTAAATTTAAAGTTTATTAAAAGAAAGATCTATTTTAAAAATTGTATTCATTCAATTTTTATTTTCATATACTATTGTTTTGATTTAAAATTCTTATTCAATTAATTTCTAACTTAATTCGATTTATATATATTTCATGTTTTAGACATGGTCACCCTCCTTTACAAATCGTATAAAAAGAATATATATAGTTTGAACGAAGTTATGGTGAATTTTTAAATTAACAAAAAAAAATCAATTGTTCTAATTAATGAAAGTGCAAGTAGGAGAATGATTTTTTTTTGGGATGGTGGGGTTGGCATTTTTAGAGGTTAAAATTATCGTATAATGTTTTATTTAAACTTATACGTAATTGTAGGGGTGGGCAAAATATCCGAAAAAACCGATCTGATCCGTTATTCGATCCGTATCTGAACCGAAAATCCGGATATCCGGAGCTCACGGATCGGATATGGATATTGATTTCAAAATATTTGTCAGATACGGATCGGATATGGATATCAAAATAAAATTATCCGACATATCCGATCCGATCCGTATTTTTTAGTAATTTTAATAATATATGGCTAATTTTGTAATTAGTTTATATATTAGGGTAAGTTTGTAAAACATAAAAGTTATGCTAGGGTTTACTTCCAACACTTTCCATCGTCAGTAAGTTTTGCGCCTCCTTCCCCTTTTTCTCTCTCTCTTCTCACTCTCACTCTCTTATTCTCTATCGTTCTTGTGCGTATTTTTGGATCTAAAGATAGAACCTCTCCCTAGTTTTTTATTCGTTTTTCTTTGTTTTTGAACATTCTTTCTTTCTCTTCGTTTGAGTTACATTGACGATTTATTTATTTAATTGGAAGACACCATAACACATCGAGCTTTCGAGATGGGTTTTTATGTTGTTTGATATTTCTTATCTTCCATGTTCGCTCGTCCAAATCGGAGATATATCACATATATTCGGTTTATAGATTTGCTTTTCTGGTGGGACGATTGACAGGTTATAGCTTTGGTAGAAACTATTTCAATTGTTGAATCTTGAGAATCTGAATCGGGTCCATTGATTTTGGGACGTAGATATGTATTTGCCAAGAACTGATTGTAACTGGGTTTTCTATTGATTATGTTTTAATTTTTAATTTTTATTATTTTTGTATCGGATACGGATATTTGCAAATATCCGTAGTTTTTACGGATATCCGAAATTGCGGATATCCGAAAACTACGGATCGGATACGGATAACAAAATATGATATTTGCACGGATCGAATACGGATACAAATATCAGAAAAACTCCGGATATCCGATCCGTGCCCACCTCTACGTAATTGGTTGTGTAATTTAATAAGAAATTATCGTATAATGTTTTTATTAATAAAATAAATTGCGTATTTATGGATTAGTCGGTTCCATTTAAACCCCATATTTTAAAATTACTAGGGCATAAATAAATAGAAATTTGTATTTCTTCTCTTCTTGTTTTTTTAGTTTAAAGAAATAGTATTATATTATTTTGGTTGAATGCAATAATTAGTATGGTTTTGAGAAAGTCAGTAGAGACTCTAAGAATATAATAAGGTTATTTAAGTAAAGTCATGCTTTATGTTTGAGGTTATTATTTTAATTCCAATTAATATATATTATATGTATATATTATTTTTCTAATGAGCTCTCATTAGCTACTTGGAATTGAAGCCACTATGCATTATTCATGTATGTCCAATTTCATATTCACTGAACTATACAGGAGACTAAATAATTTATTTTTTCTGAAATATAATAGGAAAAAGGGACACTAAATTACTAATCTACCCCTAGTCTCTCCATATATATATATAGCGACACTCCACGCTCCCCTCTCCAACATTCAAAACCCTCTCTCTCCGGTAACATCTCTCCGGCGACTTCATTTGCCGCCAAATTTCTCCGAAATTCAAATCGATATCGAGAAATGGCGAAAGGAAGCAACAACAAGCTCACGAAGCTGAAATCAGTCCTCAAGAAGCTAAACTCCTTCAACACCTCCAAGAACCACCAGCATCCACCGGCGAGCCACGGCGGCCGCTCCTCCTCCATGAGAACAATCCAAGACGACTTATTCTCCGGCGGGGGTGACCTCCATGCCGTGTACGTGGGGAGGACGCGCCGCCGATACCTCGTCAGCTCCGCCGTCGTGAGTCACCCTCTCTTCCGGCAGCTCGCGGATCTCTCGGGCGGAGAAAACGACGGCGGCGACATAACCGTTTCGTGCGAGGTCGTCTTGTTCGAGCATTTGCTTTGGATGCTCGAGAACGCCGACGAGTCACACCCCGAGTCGCTCCATGAACTCGTCGAGTTCTACGCCTGTTAATTAATATACATATATATATACACACACTGTATATTTATTGAATTTAGGTGCGGTACACACAATTACCTACAATGCTTTGTTTGTATATTTTTACTGTTTTATGATATGTGTAAAATTTATACAGTATAAATTTTATTGGCTCTTTTTTCTCAAAATGTTATAAGCAAGCAGAAATTTTTTTCTAATGTATATGATAATGTATGGACGAGTACTAAGATAGTATAGTAATACAAGATTGTTATATTCATAGAAATTAATTTAAATAAAATAACGTGAACCTAGATTGGTTAGTTCTATTATTTTGGATAATGTAAAATGTTAAAATGAGACATTAATAGGTTATTAAAGAACTAAATGAGACAGACACGAAAAAAAAAAATCTTATTGGTAGCTATTATTGGTCGTTTGATTTAATCATCACGGCATTTATGGTATCTAATTAATATAGTCTCAATCTTAGTTACATGGCTTTAAAAAAAATTTATATATTTATATTTGCTTTACCAGTCAAATTATAAAAATAAAAATAAAAATAAAAATCTATGCGCTAGTCATGTTTGTATAAATTATAATTTAGGTTTATCAGATTAAATAAAAAATCTCGAAAATGTTGGAAACATTTCCATTATGATTATGATTCAGTTTCACTATTTTAGGTTTAGTTTTTTTTTTTAAAATTATTCTATTTAATTTTTATACTGATTTCTAACTTCAGTTTTATTCAAAATTTATAAAAAAAAATGTTTATTTTTTAATTCATTTCCATTCTGATTCAACTCCGATTCTAATTTTTTTTTAAAACATCGAAAAATAATAATTTCCATCCGGAAGCGAGGAATATTAGAAACTTTTATAAATGTCCATATTAATGAGATCAAATTGGGTTACGAATTGAGGTTTCATTCATATTTATTATTATGTGTGTATATATATCTATATATAATATACATATATTTGTAATCAAAGTTTTAGTTTTTGTAAGGCTTTTAGGCCCATAAACACTAAGGCCCCAAAAAGAGCCCAAAGCAACAAACAGTTTCCCAAGATAATCTGACCTGAAAACTCGATCAAACGTTCGAATATTTCTGTTCGTCGATCTCTCGTTGCCTACCAATGATCCCTGGCGATTTTGCCGAAGAGATGAAAGATACGAAGCCGAATCACAAATTTTAAATCGAAACAAACTACTAGAGATCATCGAGAAACAACGAAGATGAAGCTGAGAGTTTCGATAAACCTGCCAAGCATCACTGTCGCATTTGTCCGATGAACACCTCCGGCGACGAACAAATTAGAAAGCTAAGTCCTCTTCATCATATCTTGTACAGATTATTAATGTTCTGTGAAGACAAGCGAGATCATGAACTGAACAATGAGAAATCACAGCACGGATTTTTAATAAGATTTACTGGTTATTGGTTGATATGTCTGTAGAATCTTTTAATACTTCAAATTACAAACAGTTTTATCATGGGTTCCCCTCCAAAATTCTTGATTCTGTGTATAAGGTTGAGATGAGAAAATCTTTGTTGTTCTTTGCATAGATAGATTGTGATCAATGGAGTTCTTTGGATGCAGAATCCATTGCATTTCGCAATACCCATTTCCAAAAAAGATCATGAACAAAGGATGTGACGTGCTGGAACTTGTGGAGAATACTTGTTGGAATTGTCATAGATTCATGCATTGCAATCTATGTGACCCAAAAAAGCAGTTCTTTCCGTATCTTCATCTCCTTCTGCATCTTCCTCTTTAGCCATAGTGAGTTGCATCATATATAATACACATACACAGATGTTATAAGTTCATATGAAATTCACAGATCAGATGAAGCAGTGAGTTGATTTTGGTAGAGAAAATGGATGTTGCTTCTTCAACCACTTTCTCTAACCTCACCTCGGTTCTCCCTCTGCCTCAGAGATCGTCTCTGAAAGTCGTTTTCTCGTCGTCTAATTCCTCAGCTCCCACAAAAGCACTTCAATCTCAGTTCTATGGCCTCAGGCTCTCTCAGTCTTCGTCTCTCCCGATACCTGCTCATTCTTCTCCCCCGAAAACTCAAATCCTTGCCACGGTACATTTGATGTCTTTCCTTTTTGTAGATATTGATGATGTCGTTTATGCATTGGTTGCAAAACCCTATTTGTGAATTGCTCATTTGCTAGCTCTGTATCCGGAAAGTTTGTACATTTGGCTCTGAATCCTGACAAACTGTTTTGAAAAAGAACAAGCTTTTGAAGATGGAGATTTCAAATTCTCAAATAATCATTAACATTCCTTAGCTCTGAGCAGATGTGTTTTGTGTGCTACTGAAGAAACTAATGTTCTGGTTGCTTTTGTCAAATTTTATTTGTTGTCAAGGATACGAAAGCACAAAATCTACATATATTGGAAACAAGACACGGAGTTCGAATCTTATCATCTTTCTGTGTGTGTGTGTTGATTGTATACAGCTGAGGAGGGGAAAGGTTGCACCAAACTTGGTTATGGAGAATGTCGAGACAGCAGGTGCCACCGGCGTTGGAATCAACGATGATAGTGGGCGATCTCGCAAGGTAAAAAACTAAACTGAACTCCCAAAACCCTAACAAAAAAGGTTTTGCTTCAAGAACTCTTTCCTCAACGGTCTAATCTTATACATCATTGAATCATACTTGAGCATGAAATAAGCCAAAACCGGATAGAAGTTAAAGAAAGTGTGCTTCTTCAATAATTATTCAGAATATGAACTACACAAAAGATCTTGTTCTAGTTTTTAGAAAACAACAGTTTCTATAGTTCTTTCTAAAGTTCTGCATTGTTTTGTCTTTTCTTGTCTGAAAATAAAACACGGTTTGGGACTTCGGGTTTGGACAGATTCTGCAGAAGTCTGTGTTGAAGAAAAGAATAAAGTATACATTGGCAAACGGCCGTGGAAACAGAGTGGAGAGAGAATGGGGATGGGGAGTTGTTGAAGGAGGCGTCTCTGGAAAATTTTCAGAGACACAAAGTTTTGTTCTTTACAAGAACGGCGTTATGAAGCATGTCTACAAGAATCATCTTCAACTCGAGAACAGCAACGATAAACTGTTTACACCCGGGAATCACCCGAGCATGTTTTTCCCGATGCTTCCAACGATCCCGAAAAAGCCCGACAAGGATGGCTCGTCTCCGCCCCCAGGTGATGGCTCGTCCTCTCCCCCGGATGATGGCTCGTCCCCGCCTGGGGATGGTGGGAGCCCGTCAAAGCCCACGAACCCGTTTATGCCGGGGAAGAACCCGTTTATGCCTTGGAAGGGCCCAGCAAAGCTCCCAAACCCGTTCATGCCCGGAAAAGATTCAAAGCCAGGAACATTCCCGTTCATGCCTGGCAAGCTCCCGAACCCGTTTAAGCCGGGTAATTCGTCGAAACCATTGGACGACGCT